GGAGTCCCAGAAACCAGGTGACAGACTGCAGGTCTGATTCTTTGTTTGGGCAGCCTCCCTTCCCCCACCCATGGCAGAGATCTCTGGACAGCCATTTGTTCTTCCCTGAGAAATTCCTCCTCCCTGACTTCGGGGAGCTGGCTGGCAAAGCCAGAGTGGAAAATCAGTGAAGCTAATGGTGTAGCAATGCAGAAGCCAGAGCCAAGAACACAGCCCTGGAGTGGCTCTGCTACACTTGCCCAGTGTGGTCAAGCCGGACACGTGAGAGCGCCTCCCTCACATTCTCTCACATGCAGAGAGCACTGGGTCCTCCCTGCCCCCACCCATGCCCAGCTCTGCTCAGCTCAGCCCTGGGAACACTTGTGAGCACACCCTTTCGCAAAGGCACTCCAGTCACCTCTGGGGAGGAATCTGTGGAACAGAGCAGATCCTCTGAGAAAACCCTGTAGCTTAGCACTCTGCAGACTTCTGCAGACCCAAGTCTTCCACCCTTGTTCTAAAGCGGGTCTTCCAACACCACCTTTTGTTCCATGTAATTCCACTTGCCTTCTGGCAGAGGTGAAATCCAGCAAGAGGCAGAAGTTAACGGGTTTCTGACTTAGTAGAAATTAGTTGGGCACAGGTGGGCTAAGGAGTGCTTCTGTTTATCGAGGGGGCAGCACCACAGGCTGCCCTCTGATCACACCATTTTGCTGTTGACAGTAGGCCCATAGACTGTTGGAGCTGGTAGTGAAATGCCCTCTGGTACCTATGGGGGGGGGGTAATTCTCCTTGCTTTAAGGTTGAAATGCATCTTGGGACCAAGGCAGCTACAGCATCCCTAGGAGGTTAAGGTTGGGTGGTGGGTGGCCAGGACCCTACAACTTGAAGCTGAGGCAGTGTCACTCAGCCTCTCCCCCAGAGGTGCAGGTTTCTGTGGAACACGCAGACAAAGCCTGGCTTTGTGAAGCCCAGCTTCCAAGGGTCTTGCAGCCAGAAATGGAAATGTGCGGCTTTTCCATTAAATGTAACCTCTCCCCCTTCAACTGGCCACCAGACTCCTTCAAATCTGGGTAGGTGGGAGGAGCTGTAAAACCCTAGCCCATTAAATCGCTTATTAGTTGCAGGTTTCTGAGCATGTAGGCAAAGTATTTTGAGACTGCAAATCTCATGCTATGCCCCCAGTCATGGGATCTGTGGCGTTTAACCCGTGAGATGGCTGGAAAGGGGGCAGCATCCCTGCTCCCGTGAGAAGGGATCTGACAAGCAGTTTTGGGTTTAGTCACTTGATTTCCTCCAAGTCTTATTCCAAAAGAAGAAGCAAAAACAAAAACACAGAAACAACCCTACTCAACTCCAAATGTCTTTCAAGTTGATGCTTATTTTTTGAAAAGAACATTCTACCCCTCCATACAAGGCCCAGCTTCAGTCCATCCACAAGAGGCCCCTTACCTCCCCCCAAAGCCAGATCTGAAACAAGCACAAGCACAGCCTCTTCAATATCCAGAGCGAGAGAAGGAAAAGGAGGGGGAGGGGAGGGGAGGAGAGGGCTGGTTTTCCTGGAACCCTTATTAAATCAAATTTCCAAGGACAGCCAGAAACTCCAGGCCCTCCCCATCTCTCAGGAGTATTTGCAGACTGGGGGAGGGGATCCCTCCCACCCCCAAGTCACAACAAAGCCTTTCTAAAGCAGAAAAGCTCTCAGTGTGAACAGGGTTTAGGTAGTATGGTTTAAAACTTTTTGGACAAATCTTTGATGTACACAAATGACAGCCCATTCTGAGGACAACAGCAGCATTATGACTGAATAATCTGCAGGGACAAGACTATACAACAACATGTTACATTGTAAAATACTTTATGGTTTACAGAACACAGGGATAGACCTCCCAGATGACTTCACAGCAGTGCTCTGAAGATGGCAGGGCCCAAGTTTGGCTGAGCAGTAAGTGATGGGAAGGTGTTAACCCGAAAGGGACCTATTCAACTGAACAGTGAACTGGGACTTGTTCTCCAAGTCCAGTGTGTTTCCACTTCTGTGCCCTACCTAAGACTCCCCAAATCTACCCATGCAACAAGCCCTCCCCTGTATGGTGGCTCCTGTAGGGTTCCAGGAAAAGGCACCCACATCGACACTGACTGCTCAATGACTTGGCACCCGGCACTGTTGGAAGAGCCTTGCATCGGTATTCCCAATGACCTCAGCAGCAGATGTTCATCATCAATATATTTTATAGAGACACAAAGAGGACCCTTCCTAACAGTCAACTGTCAGTGAGAAGTGGAGCCAAAATCAAAACCAAGGCAGTCTAGGGTAAGACAGGTATACAAATGTTCACAGTTTTTGTAGTAATAGCCAGGACCACTAACAACCCAAATGGCCCATGACAGGTAAGTGAATACACATTCACCATATTATCCCTTTAGATCAGTGGATGCCTGAGGTCAGTGCTGCAAAGAGCACTGACACAAAGGTGCAAAGAGGGAAGGTCCAGGCTGCTGCAAATATCCCCAGCCTTGACTGGGATGGAAGTTACTGGAGATGTTACATTTATGAGAACATGTTGAAATGTACACTTAAAATTAATGTATATTATGGAATGTCAATTACACCTCAGTGAAACTGCTTTTTAAAAATGGCAGCCTAATTTCCATCTTTACCACTGCAGAGCCCCTCCGAACCTGCCAGCTCTTCTACTAGCGCTCCCTTGTGGAACCTGTACTTATGTCCTCATCAAAACCATCAAGCTGCAGCTCATCCTCTTATGCTGCTGTGACTTCCCAGTTTCGATCCACAACTAGCAGCTTTAATGGCAATACCCCTCCTGCCCCACCCCCCTGAAATTTCTATATTTTGAACATCCCCTTCCTACTTTTAAGTATCCAAGCCTGAGATTTCTGTCCTTAGGCTGCAAAAGAGCCTGTTAGAGAAAGTTTAAATAATAATAATTTTAAAAAAGTACCTCAGGGGTTGCCATAAAGTTCTATTTTGAAGCCACATCCAAGTCCCCGTTGCTTTAAAACTCCCGTATCCACCCACAGCTGTGCTATGGAGTAATGTGAATCTTTTCTCCTCCTCACCCAAGCCTCCCACCCTAACTCATTCCCTTTTTCCTCATCTCATCTTGTCTTTGTCCACAGCCACCTAGAGTTGACATCAAACTCTAGCTCAAGGTTATTTCTAGAATGTCTCACCATTCTTTCTTCCTTTATGACCCATGGGTACCCTCTCCTGCCCACTTCAACCATCCCGGTATTTCTTCTAGCTAGACATTCAAAACAACGGTCTCACTTGTTATTTTGGCAATAGCAATAGCAGCAGCAGCAGTAATAACTACTAACACTTTACCTATAAATGCTTTATCAGGATTATCTCCTTTAATCCTTTAATATCCCCATTTTAAAGATGAGCAAAGGCTTAGTTTGGGTGAAGCTGTGTCAAAGCAAGTAATGCAGCCATTCTGTGATGGAAGAGGATTTGAATACAGTACATCTCACTGGTTCCTCCCACCCACCCAAATTCACCTGCCAGGTTAATTTTCTAAAAGCTGAACTATGTTATTACCTGCCCAAAACTTTCCAAGATTTCCAGTATGTACCCATTTAAGTATAGTTAACTAGCAGGGAACAATACTAACTTAAGCCCGTCTTTCCTACCTACTTGTTCACTATCAATTTATATATAACTCTATTCATGCGATTCCACCTAAAATGCCCTCCATTTTCTTCTTCCAACCTCACCCATGCCTCTACATACATCTCAGTTGTTCTCTATTCCTGTCCACTTCTGTATTCCCACTGTATTGTGTTGTGACTCTGCTCTGTGAGGTTTAAACCATCTACCTTTATTTAGTGTATTTGTCTCCCCCCCCCCCCCCCCCCGCAGCTCTGACAGTGAATTCCCCATGGGTAGAGATGGTCTTTCCTACTTTGGGTTTCCTGCATGTTCTAGTTCAGGTCTTACCTTTAGCTCTGTTAACAAATGCAACATTAATCTACCTGCTTCAGCCAGACAGTATACCTCCTAAAATGCCTCACATACCCTCTCTTTTCCCTCCCCCTACAGCATATCCATTATCCATCATTTAAACAGGTCCTGACTGCTGGCCCTTTAAATGCAGCTCTGTCACAGGCACATCTGAGTCTCTCACCCACTGCCTGCCAACTCTCTTGATGTAACTACCACCGAGTCACAAGCCACACTACCCTTTGGCAGCAGAAACACCCAAATATTATTTTTCAAAGACCCTCAAGAGCCAAGTATGGTGTACCTATCATCTCTGTGAAGTATTTTCACAATTCAGCAAATTCTATGAGCAGTGGAGCAAGTTCTTCCTGTCACTGGGTAACCTCTCTGAATTTCCAACATGCTCTATAGGTCTCCACCAGTTCCTAAGCCCTATAATGCACCCTGGCTCTCAATTTCTTCAGTCTCTTTGACAGTCCCTATCCAAAGCAAACTGCTTAGCAGGTCTCCAAAGAGGGCCCAGGAGACAAAGTCAAGGAAAGCAAATGCAGGCATGGTCAACCTTTACAGAACATATGTCTTTGCAAGAAATTTTCTAGAAGTCAGGTCTTTACCAAGTTAGTTCCCTCACCTGTCAACATCCCCATAGTCTGACCAAGTACTAAACCCAACTTCACTGACCACTCGTTCCTTACTGCTTCACTAGCTTCATGTTATACATCATCTATTATAATAGGTTAGGGCACTAGTTCTTGGATCCTAAGCAAAAGTTCTTTTCTTTTTTTTTTTTTTTTCCAGGAAAAAATGTATAAACCCACCCAGAGCAAATCATTTCTGGTAAATGGATGTTATCAGCCTTCATGACCCAAACTCTGATGAAGTTGACTATGTTTATAACCGAACAGCAGCCCAGGTATCTTGGGGGTCTCTTGCAGGGAAGGAGCCCCTTGCTCCACCTGGAATGGAGCCTTCCCAGTTGACCACATCACCTTTGGCCCAGCCCACCCTACTTCTGAGGGCCAGAGTCCAAGCTGCCCCTCAGCCCCAGCCTTACCTTGTTCAGGCAAGGTTGGGGCTGGCCTGGCAGCGCAGCAGTATGTGGCTGTGACCAGCACAGCCCAGAAGAGGAGGCACTTCCAGCTCCACATCCCAGTTCTGCAGTTAGAGGTTGGTGACAAGGCTCCACCCCTCCATGGAGACTCCGCCTTGAGCTCAATCCTCCCTTTGAAGCTGACTCTGGGAAAAAGGAAAATCAAAAAGTTAGGTGAGTCTGTAGGGTGGAGAGGGCAAGAGTGGGGTGGGGGAGCAGGTAAATCAGACCACCTAATCGCACTGTGCAAGAGAGCTTAAAACAGTAGCTTAGTCCTTCAGGCATTAAGAAGAGAATTGTGGTTCTGCTCCAAGGCTGAATTTGAGGTTTGAGGTCTTTATTTGCAAAGAAGTGCTTTCATTCAGTCCTACACCTATTCCAGAGTGTGGACTATGTGCAAAACTTGCGGAGCTGTAACGTTCCACAAGGTCTAAGTGCTGAGATTTTTTTGTGTCAGGAAAGCATATCATCTTATGAAAGTCCCAGGTAGTTCTGTCACTTCATGGGCAAGAGCTTCAGAGAGTGTGGAGACAGAATTGAGAGGTAAGTATGCCAATGGCTCCCTCTAGGCAAACCAACCCCTCTGGTGAGCAATAAGAGATGAACATGGAACAAGCTAAGGACAAGGAAATAGTCATATAAGCTTCTGAACCTCTCTGGACCTACGCACTGAGAGAGCTGAATGAATGGATCTCCAGGGTCCTTGCTTTTTTTTCCTAGAAATATCCGCAGCACTTAGATCTCAGGTTCTGCCAGCTTCCCTCACTGATAGTAGACAGCTCTCACCAAATACTTAAAAGGGGCCTCAGAGTGGAACCACAGGTAGATCTAGATCCCTTCCCCAATATCAAAAGTGATGGCTGATACCCCACAGAAATGAATATAGAAGTGGGGACTGCATGGGTCCTTGGAAGGGCTGACTCCCTGGTGGCTCCTGCCTGCCCCCGGTAAAGCACAGGCTGCCACACTTTAACCTTCTGAGTCTGGAGCTATACCACAGCAAACTCCTTAGGGGCTTAAGGAACAACAGGTTGTTGTCGCTAAACATTTACCTAGTGACAAGACTTTCTGGGGACTCCTCGTGCTATATGGACATGTTCTCCATGTCTGTTCTCCAGGTGGCTTTTGTCCTAAATACTCCAGGGAACCCTTGGAGTTATTCTGAGAATCCACTTCCCCGGAACATGCCCTAATGTGGTGCTTCAGTCCTCCCTCCCCCGGAGCCAGACAGGGCCCCTCATGAGTGAGTCAGTCCAGGCTGGCAGAAACCCCCAGGATTCTTGGCTTCCTTCACATGTGCTTGCCAGTGGGAGTATGCGCACATAGCTCCCTCCCAAGGTTCTACTAAAATTTCTTAATGATTTCAAGTCAAAGGAGAAAAAACATTTCTTTTATTTTTCTAAGTTTAGCAAAGGGACTTGAAACCCAACAGAATAAATATTTACCAAATACCTATTACTACCAAGCATGAACTAGGTAAAACTTGTAACTATAAAATTTCATTTATTTTTCACTTTAAAGTTGGGGTGGGGGGACAGGAATTATTATTCTCCTTTTAAGCAACAGGGAAACAAACTCAAAGAAATTCATTATTTTGCCCAAGGGCACACTGTCTGTAAGCAGCTAGAGGTCTGAGTAGAGGAAGCAAATGAAAGGAGTGATCAGATCTGGCTCTATCTGATGGAAACTTTCTACAAAGGACACAGCACCCCTGTGCCATAAAAGAAAAAAAGAAAGCCCAAATAGGTAAGGACAGACCCAAGGAAAGTCTGGGGGTGAGAGAACCTCCATTTTCACTTCCTCTGCTTGAAAGAAAGAACTTCAGAAGCTGCCAGATTGGACAAAGGACATGGAATGATCCCTGGCCAGAGACAGAAGCTACAGCTTGCAAGAGACCCTCTCTAAACCATAATCTACATCCAAAAGACACACCAAATGGATGCAGGCCAGCCCTCCAAAGGTATGCCTGATCATAACAGGAAAACTGCCAGAATAATGAATGAATTTTCAGTACCCAAGAGAAAGGGATGGTATCACCTCTAAATAGTTAACCTTTTTTCAAATGTAGCAGCAGGCACTACTAGGCCACCCTGTCTCCTATAAAGCCTGCCCACCCACAATAGGTGCAGACTGGCTGCAGGCTCAGTCAACAATGCATTCAAACTAATCTGCATGGCAGCTTCTTTGCAAAAATCTCCAGGGCCTCAAGCCCCACACGTGTAAAACAAAGCGTGTGAAGAAAACCCAGTCTCCTGGGTACCAACTCTTGGGAATGAGAAGGGAAGTGGGCACCTACCACACTCCACAAACCGGGGCTAACAGTGGCACAAACCTCTAGTCCACATGCTGTCTGAGGCTCTAGGGAAGGCCACCTCTTCCTAGGCCTCACCTTCTTCCCATTTTACTAATTAATGAATTCTTAAAACCCCTTAGGAACAGTCACCTTCCTTCCCTGCTTCACAGATGTGACCTGTAGCCTCACAGGTGTACACCACAGGATCCTCAGGGACCCTGCAGCTGTTCCACCTCAGCCTCTCCCATTCACTCAGGTCCCCTGGGACTCAAAGTCCAACTCCACCGGGGTGCAGAAGTCTTCCCTGGGGAACAGGAGCCAGACACAACATCTCAGTTTTCCTATTGGTCAGAGGAGGCCTCCATCACAGGTGGCTGAGAATGAAATGGGCAGTATGGGGTCAGGGCGGGCTCCCCTCTCTAAGTACTAACCCATTGTTGGATGGAATCATGTCTGGTGAGCAAGCAGAGCTGAACAACATGACCTTGCCTTTCTTAAGTTTCCATGGCCGTCAGATGGCCATGTCAGGAAAACTAGCTGGGTTTAGGACATGTCTTTTTCTTTCTGCTTTCTGGCAAAAATAATAAATTCCTGCCCTTCCATTTATGACCCTGTCACTCTAGGACAGTCAGTTAACCTTTCTGAGTCTGTTTCCTCACTTGTCAGAGGAAGAAGATCTATTTGAGCAGGTAGTTATGAGGATCAAGTGCGTAGCATGTGTCAAGGCTTTGGCTGCTCGGTCTTCTCTAAAGTGCTAGCCAAACATAGGGAATTATAAATCTTGTGTTTGAGTCACTTCTGGCTCACACTCCCAGGAGATCTTGGTAACTGATGGCTGGAGGATCAAACTTCCCACCTTTACAAAGGTGTTTGTCACTATTCATTTTCAAACTATAGACCCCAGACCAAGTTGCATTTGGTATCCCCAAAATATTCTGGCTCTGAGTACCTGAAATGTGGCTAGTGTGAAGTAGAATGTTCCAGAAATGAAATATGAGCCAAGCTTTTGAAAGTGTTATAAAAATGTAAAATATCTTCCTAATACATTTTATATTGACCACATGTTCAACAGGTAATATATAGATGTATGGGGTTAAAGCAAACCCATTGTTAAAATTTTAAAAAATGAGTCCATCAATAAAAAGTGAATTTTAGTTGTTTCTATTTACTTATTTCCAAACATTGCTACCCGAAAACCTAAGATTCCATGTGGCTGGTGTCAGAGTTTGATGGGATGATACACATCTAGGCAACCCTCATTCCTGCCCAAGTATCTCTTTGCTCTCTTTCTTCCATGTCTAACAAGACAAGCTTTGCTACTGAAAAGTCTGAGTTGGGTCTTAGCGCTGAAGACCTCATTCCTCTTAGTTTCCAAGACAGGTTCCCAGGCTCTCTCATGTAGCACTTCTTTCATCTTCCACGACTGGGCTATGCTCCCCTTCCCTTCCCCACCTTGTGGGATCACAGACTCCCTTAGAGCAGTGCCTATGTCTAACTTTTGTTAATACTCACAGCACCTAATATCCTTATATGCACATAGCAGATGGTGACACATTTGTTAACTGGGTGAACGAGTGAATGAAAGACAGACTGAAAAGAAATGGATACAGATATTCTTGCAAAAGGAGGTTAGGAAAGTAATACTCAAGCACTCCTTGTTGGCCAGACAAGAGCTATTCCAAAGCAGAGCAACTAGGACATTTTCTAAACACCTTGATTCCTCAGAATTAAGGATGTAATTCCATTAGATGAGAATAAGACTTTTTCATAAAAATGATCAATTTCCCCAAAGTGAACATTCTTTACTCACTGTTGAGAATGGCAGGGCAGGTACTTAATAAACATTTAAGGAATAAAAAAGCTATGCAGTTCAGTTTTTTAAATCTTATTTTGTCCAAAGGAAATGCTAATTTTTAAATTTTGAGTTTCTGTCTTTGGGGGTGAGATGTACAAAAAATTAGTAATAATAAATGAAGCACTAAGTGCTCCACCATAATCCAGGAGACCCTTCTGTCAAAGACAGGATGGACTAGTGAAACCCCACCCTTTTCTTGGTGTTGTTCAAGAGGGCTCTTTACCTGTGGGGGAGGTGGGAGAGAAAAACATAGCTTCTTTAATTGCAAGGGGCAGTGGTGGTGGGGAGAAGATTCCTGTTTAAGGTAGAATCAACCTTACGTGGAAAAGCAAATATCTTGGCCCATGCCTGGTGTTTAATCTTCTTTGGAAACTCCAGAATCTTCTCTAAAGCTTGACTTCAGGGCCCTCAACAGTCCTTGGAGCATTCGGATTTTTTGCTACACTCTTGGGAAGATAAACTCAAGACAAATTTTCCAAGAGGAAATTAAACTCGTTCAAGAGATGTCAAGCCTTTCAGAACAAAACATTTGGATCAGTTCTCTCTATTGTCTTCTCCTTCAACAACAAGAGACTGAAGCTTTCCTAAGATGCTCTTAACTAACAGCCATTTTGATAGAAAATTTAAAAATGGAGGCCAGAAAAAAGCATTCAGAGAAGCTGGCTGCTAAAACCCTAAGCTCACAAGAGCAAATCTCCTTTTTTAGGAGTCACGTTTCAGGTCAATGGCCCAAACAAACAAAAAGCATATAACTAAAAGCAAAACCCAAGTCTTTCCTTGATTTCCAAGACTGGGGTGTGCCTACCCAATGCTCAATCTTCAGCCCTCTTGGGTCGACCAGGAATAAAGCTGACACTGTATGCAATTCCTCTCCCTCCACAGGAGTGACCCAAAAGCACGTACCACGCTCCTGCGCCATTTTTTCTCTGCTTTTGCTTCACTTCATAATGCATAACAGAACTTCCTAACACTCTCCAGGGCCAGAAGCCAAGGATAAGAAGCACCCAAGGTTGTCTACTTTGGAACTAAAGGAAGTGGGGCCCCAACCCCATTTGTGAAAATGGACAATTCTACAGACATAGTAAAAACCAAGGAGTGAAACCACACAAGTCAGGTGTCTCTCCATTCATGGGACCTCATTAAAAAGCTGACACTCCACTATGATTAAGAGTAAATGCAACAGCTATTTCAAGGAGCTCCCCTTAGATGCCGAACACAACTACCCCAGCTGGAGCCAGGCTCCAGCAATCTCCTGGTCCCCAATTACCCCCTCCTTTCCAGTGCCTCGCAGGTCTACAGCAGCCGAGGAGCTTCTCCCATCCAAAAGGGGGTAGAGATGTAAACAAATCATTAGAAATCAGGCCATCGGGCAGACAGTTGCCTCCCCTCTTCATCAGCCCCTGAAAGGAAGGGCGATGATCCAGGCTAGGGGGTAGTCAGCCAGAGGAGGCATGTCCCACGGGGTGTGGCTACTTAGCTTTTAAACCAGCTCAGAGAGGAAACCAGTGGCCAGTGCCAAAGGGGAAAATGGCCACTTTCGCTAAACAGTCTCAAGGCTAAGGTTCTACCATTTAGAGGGTATTCCAAAAAAAGCGCTGGGCTGGTCCGGAGGTGCAAAGGGCAGGGCACATCTGCAGAGGAAATAGTCACCTTAATTACCATGTCTAGAGAAAGTGCGATTTCATTACAGCCTCCAAAACTACCGCCCAAAGAAGGAAACCAGAGAAGTGTTTTCAATTTGAAAGAGACTGGAAAGGAGAGGTTGAGAGCGACCCAACTCTCCCCATCCTCCCGCAACTTTGGACCAGAAGGTGTTTTCCCACCTCAAAGGCTATTACCAAAACCCGTCAACAAGCCAAGCTCGGTTTTCAAACCTGTAGCCGTTACTTAAATGGTGAAATGTCCCACTGTAGTTTCCGGCGCTGCAGCCCAAATAACTCCTTAAAAAACGCACAGGGAGAGCCTGCGGCAGCCGCGGCGCACCCCCTCCCCCGCCCCACGCAACGTCCCCGGGCTCGGTCCAAGGAGGGTGGAAAGGGGACACATGACGCCACCGCGGGGCGGCCCCAGACCGGACGGCGGGCCTCAGACGGGGTCAGATGCTCCGGCTGCTCCAGCTGTAACCGAGGGGGGCAAAAAAGCGAGGCTTTCGCTCCAGAAATTTCCGTCTGGGCCAGTTCTGGGTCAGAGCCGGGGCCAAAGAGGCCACCTCTAGCAGAACTATTCGAAAATGCTACCCCTAAAACCTTGGCCCCATCTCCAACTTTGTCCCTTTTCTGCACAATCTGGAAAGCAACACCATGGCTCCTAAATAACTTGGGAGCCAGGGTAACTTTCTTTTCTCCCCAAATCCCAAGGCCTCATCTCCAAGGCTCAAATGTTAAAGAGAGAGGTGGTCCTTACGGACAAGTAAAAAAATCCCAGTTTTAATTTGGAGTAGGGGGAAGGGAGGAGGATGTTAATAATGTGGCTGCGGTGTACCCGTGTGGGGTGAAACGGAACCAGATGCGGCTGATACATCTGGAAAATGGGGGAGGGGGGTGTTGGGAGAGAAAGACGCCGCAGAAAAATCAAAATGGGTTAATAGCTTCTAGGCCTAGAAAGGAGGAGCAGGAGAGCAGGAGTCACTCCACCCTCCAAAAAGGTGTCTGACTGCCTTCATAGGAGAGTGCTAAATGAACTCTGTCTACAACGTCAATAAATTCCTCTGCAAATAAGGGTAAGCCTCTCTTCTCCCAAACCCCAAACATAACGGGAGGAAAGGGGGAGCGGGGTGGGGGGCAGAGAGGGGTCTGGGCCACATAAGCAACATGCAGAGCAGCCGAGAGAGCCGCACCGGACAAAACCCTCATCCCTTCCCCCACCATTCAGTCAGCTAGGAACTGAACGCTCTCCTTCTCCCCTCACCCCCCACCCCATAACGGGGCTTAACAACACACTCCCCTTCCCCAAACTTCCGATTCTTTCCTTTCCGAGACAGACAAAGTAAAAGATAAGTCCCTCTGGAAAAGGGAATTCCTTTCTCACTCTCCGCCTAAGCAGATTCAGCCATTTGGTGACGACATCTCCTTAAAACCTATTCGAAGAGAAGCTAACCTAACCCTCTACTTCCTTCGCTCTTCATGCCCCCCCATCCCCACCCTCGACCCCAGACTTTCCCGGAGGTGGGAAAGGACTTGGAAATACCCGCATTTTTAGAGTTCCACCCAAAGCTACCTGCTGAATTGGGGTGAGAGCCCCAAGAGTAGATTTTAGAGATGGAGTGAATGCAGCGCGCGCGCGCACACACACGCACACACACACACACACACACACACACACACAAACCCCACTTCGAAGCCCACTCCCGGCTTAGTCTGGAGACACCGAGGCCGCTGCCGCTTTCGCCCCGGCCCTGTCCCCTCCCGGGACTCACCGCGGAGCCACCGCCGCTCGCCAGCTCCCCGGCGGAGTTGGCGGAAAAGTTGGGCGGCAGGAGAAGCGGCAGGACCAGCGCGGGGAGGGGGCGCAGAAGACAACGCGAGTGGAGGGGAGGAAGGGGGAGACAAAAGGGGGGGCGCAGAGCGTAGGGGAGGGAGTCGGGAGGTGGAGGGGGGCGGGTAACCAGGGAGGCGCCGGACCCGACAGGGCTGCAGCAGGGAAAACGCGCAGCCAGGAGGCTCCAGCACCGGGGGCCGCTCGGGACGCCAAGCCCGCCCCGGATCTGGGGGCGCCGCGGCTCTTACCTCACTGGGCGCTGCGATTCCGCCTCTGGAGAGTCCGCCGTGGCTTGTGCCGGCGGGCGGGCGCCCGCGTCCCCGGCTCCGGCCCGCCGCCACCCGGCTCCACTCGGATTCTAGCGGGGCTGCGAGAGCCCCGCGGCCGGCGCTCGACTCCCGGGCGCGCTCGGTGTTCGGCGCCTCCAGCCCGGGCGGGAACAATGGAGCCGGAGCTGGTGCCCCGGAGGCGGGGCGGGGGAAGGGCTCCCGTCCGCCGCCCGGGGTCTCCAGACCCTGTGGCCCCCCTCTCCAGAACCGGGCGGCGGCGCCTCAAGCTCCTTGTCGATTGGACTCCATCGTGTTGCGGGGTCCCCGGCGCCTCGGCGTGTGCGACTGCAGCGCTGGTGCCGAGCGCCTACGGGGCGCCCCTCGGACCCGAGTAAAGTCCTGGGTCTCCGCGGCTTTTCCAGCTGCGGCGCGCGCTCGCGGCCCGAGAAGGCGAGGTCGCCGCAATGCGCTAAGCTGAATCTCAGTCGGGTCGCGACGTTGCCGCCCAGCTCCGGGCACAGCCGGGGCTCCCAGGCGTGCTGCCGCTGGACCAGAGGACGGGCTCCCGCTCGCCGCCGCCCGCTGCCGAGGCCACCGCACTAGTGCCCGCAGGAGCGCTCCGAGCGCTGTGCGCCGGCGAGGCGCGAGGGCTCGTCTCACTCCCACCGGCGCTGGTCCCTCCCCCTCCTCCTCCCCCTGCAGCTGCCTGCTGGGCCTTGTAGTTCCCGAGCCGCGGCCCGGGAGCAGGAGATCGGGCTGAAGTGCCCGAGCTCTGCCGCTCCTTTCGGGCAGTCTGGTCGCCTTTGGCGCGCGTGCCCCTGAGAGTTACCTCCTGGAGGGCGCCGGAATATCGGGGCCCGGGCACGTTAGCAGCTTGGAGGTGAAGTAGGGAGAAGCCGTCGCCCTGAGGTTGTACGCGGTAACGTGGACTTTACAGTCTGTGTGGCTTGGCGAAAAATGATTTTCTCACTATAAATCTCAATTTTCTGGTCTGTAAAGGGGGGGATAACAATACTTTCCATATAGAGTTGAGGATTACTCATGAAAACCCGGCACCTAGTTAACACTCAAGTAATACAAGCTGATTTTATCCATGAGAAGATGGACCCTCTTCCCAGACCTTTCCCTTCCATCTCCATTTCTCCAGCCCAGAATTTAGGTTTTGAGGACCACAGGCAAGCAGACACTATCAAGTCTAGGGAACCTTCCTTGACCTCCAGAAGTCTCCAGCCTGCAGGGAATGGTTAAGAAGCAAAGAGAGTGATGGGAGCTAGGAGGGTTGTTGTTTGTTTGAAAATTAACCACAGTCTACCAAAGTGGCCAAGATGCCCCCTTTTTGTAGGTCTTTACAGATAGGACGTGTGTCCTTCCACAGAGTGCTATAATCTACAGATTCCCTAATCCAAATGCACATGAGCCTTTTGGGAAAAAACTGAAAAACACAAATTAGTGGACTTGCTCAGATACAGAAATCAGGCTGTCCCAGGAAAGAGTCCAGTGTATGAATTTGTTCTAACTTTCCCATGAGAACTTAGAGGTGAGGTGAGACCAGGGTGGGGCCGCCAGTAAGAAGGAATGTATACCACACTAGTTTTGAAGGGCAAGCCCTTTCTGTTCCCCCAGTTATGACCTGTATTTTGGACAAGTCATGTAATTGAAAAAAATCAGGACTTGTTAACCTATTTCTCTCCAGTTGCTTGGGACTCCTTTACTGGGTTGTCATGTGGATCAAATAAAATAATGGCTGTCTAGTGCACCAACGTGTTGGACAAATAGAAGACACTCTGTCAGTTAACAGTAGGATCTGTTCCACCCTGAGGGATGCATGAAGCCACTGATTTGGGATGCATGAATACTGAAGGAGATTATGCCACCTCCAATTTAAGGAGTGTCTTAAGGTATTTCTTCACTTGACCAGCAGTGCAAGAATAGTGAATAGCATGATCTCAATAAATGTTTGTTGACTGAAGAGTAAATGTTAAATGAATAAATGAGTAAATTAAAAGGGAAGTAGGGTCCCTCCTTGGTGGCACAGATGGTTAAAGTGCAGCATTGCAAGCTAGCCACAGCTGCTTCATTGCCAGTTCCATCCCTTGCCCCAGGTGACCCACATGGCCCAGCAGACCTCTCCTGTCTCCCCCCTCCCTTCCCTCAGCAGTATACTTCATTGACTTGCCTGTTCTGCTCCCCACTCTGTCTCTCACAGCCCCTGCACCTCTGACCTGTACCCCACTTCTGCAAGCATAATAAATCTTTTTTAAAAAATGAAGTAGAGGGCCCTCCCTGGTGGCTCAGCGGGTTAAAGCACTGCACCAAGAAGCTAAAACCACTTCCACATGAATTCAATCCCCACCTGCTCTGGAGGTGATCCATATGGCAGTGGCAGACTGCTGCTCCCCTCAGCAGTGTACCTCGACAGTCTGCCTGTTCTGCTCCCCACTCTGTCTCTGGTGAATCCTCTCACTGCCCCTGTACCTCTGGCCTGTACCCTAGTTCTGTGTGCATAAATAAATAAATATTTAAAAAATAAAAATGTTCATTTCAGGCCCACAAGAAGGCACAACTGACTTGGCTCCCCTTGGAGAGCTCTTCCCTGCCAATCTCAGCCCTGTCAATCTCCACAGAAATCCTACTGACCTCAATTTGAAGTTTAACATAGCTTTGTTAGTTGTCTCTCTTGCTCTTTTTCTCTATCTAACTTTTAAATTGTTCTAGGGCAGGATCATATCTATGTCTGACCTTGCTCAGGACACTACTCAAAGGTATTTTATCCATGCTTGCTGGTGGTTGGACTTGATGAGGGTAACAAGCATATGGGGCCAGAGGAGGACACACAACTGGAGGGAATATGACGGGAAAGCCAAGTCATAGAAAATTCAGCACTTAATGTTAACACCCAACGACTGCTTGCCCATTTTATCACAATAAAACAGGATGTATCACTCTTCCTCTCTGCGATTCTTTTAAGACAAGGAGTTTTAAATCTAGCCTTTTAATCTTTTGATTTAGAACCTATGGTAGACACATTTTGAACCCAAAAGAGGAAGCTGAAGAATATGCCCTTGATTTAAACAGAAAGAAAATGGCTCAAGTGCTGTTGGCATTGAGGGCTTGAGGGCGTAGACCTGTTATTGAACATACTTCTCTGTAGATTTAGCAGGAAACCAAAATGAAAGCAAGTGGCCAGCTTGATAGCTCCCTCTCTGCCTGGAGAGAGGGAAATAGCCAAAGGCCGTGTAATAGGGAAGGTGAGAAACTCAGAGACCGAATGGGCCATCCACAGACCACAACCTGGCTCCTGAATAATTGAGAGCCAGCTGCTTTTTTATCCTTCCAGTTGGCTCACTTTCCGTGCTTCTCCTTCCCCTCTTCCTGAAAGACCCTCCACTCCAGTAGTAGTGCCGCCAGCGCACCCCCAGGGCAGCCCTGAGTAGCTCCAGGCAACCAAGTCAGAAGACGGTCCTTTCTGCTTCTGTCCTGCTCTGAGGACTTCTGGCACCTTGCCGCCCCACACAGAAACGTAATCTTCCCTCTGAGATAACAAAGAGCTGGGAGGGTCAGGGAGGATTTGTAGGCCCCTGGCCCTGCCAGTTAGATGTCTAAAGCGTAGACAAAGGCTCTTACACTCTAGGGCTTGATAACCAGTTGGGGGCCTGTTGCCTCCTGAATCCCTGGGAGGTGGGAACTGGTGCTGAATAAAGCAGAGGGAAACAGAGCTCTCCCCAAAGCCCCATCATTTCTTTGTTTGGAACACTGCAGAAAACCCCTTCCCTCTTCCTCCAGCCACTAGTGTCCTCAGAGTTCTAACACCCAGAAGGAGCTCCTCCCTGTGCTTCTTCCCTGGTGCTCCTTTGCTCCATCTGAGCACTTAGCTGGTCCGTAGGCAGCAACACCCCTACCACACTGGAGTGGTACTGCAGACTTAACACCTTCTTGTTATAGAAAAGGGGAGGAGGAAGGAAGCCAATCAATCTATATTGACTTTAAATTGGGCCCTGGGAAGCCCAAGGCCTTTGGGAGTCCCTCGGAGGCTTGATGCTGACTGAGCACTGTTCCTGGAGGAGAACCAGAAGAGGGAACTGACTGGGTTTTCCTTACAGAGTGGCTGTTCACAGGTCCCAGGGAGCAGGTGGGAGGCCAAGCCTTTTGCCCCAGGCCCCCGGAGTTAGGGAACAGCAGTCAGTTACCATCTGGCTGCCATTTGGTGACCCCTGGCTGTTCTCCGCACAACTTCAGCATATCAGGGAAGGGAGGGTCTTGTTTAGCTCAGCGTTTTTGTAAATAGCATTTCACTCTCCTACAACTGGGACTGGGAAGGGAACTGGCTCAGCTTGCCTGCCCGATGCAATCCATATGCATTGAGCATAGAGGGTGGGGTACTTCTCATGAGACAAGCACTGGGCTGGGCACAGTGGTCCGAAGAGAAAGATGAGGCTCAGTTTTGGGGGAGGAGCTCACATCCTTGTGGGGGAGACCAAAGAATACAAGTAGTGTCACATGAGGGCTACCTGCCAGCTGTCTGGGAAAGATAAACCAGGAAAGGAGACCACTTGGGGAATGTGATGCTTGAATCTTAAACCATGAACAACATGTGAAAATCTTCTCACTCATCTGGGATAATCCAGGAAAGCAGGGTTGGAGAGTGCAAGGGGCTGATTTGATTTGGGGGGATGGGGAGTAGGTGGGGTCGGATACTTTGAAGCTTCTATATTATCTTGATCTGAGAGGATGAACATAACCTCTGGGGGTTGGTCCTGATTCTGCCACTTCTTTCTGGCCTTGATCTTGGACAAGTCCCCTAACTATCCATTTCCTCACTGGTGAAATAAAGATAACAATGGTATGTGTTTTTCACAGGACTCTTGATAGGGTTAAATGAGTTCATGCATGAAACTCACTTGACACACAGTATATGTTGAAATGGTAGTTGTTATATTTTAGCCCAGGAACACTCCTTTGGCTAAAGACACATCATTTGCTATTTTCTGTTTTATCCATTCACTATCCATTCACCACCTTAACCATCCTCCTGATTCTCAGTATCCCAAGACCAACTGCAGGAAAGGATATCTTTTCCCCACTAATTTCCCCCTTCCCTGCTGTTATGCAAACCGTCCCCCACCCCCAAGACAAGAAGCCCTTTCTGTGATAGGTTTTACTGTGAAATCAAAAGAAAACCACAAGACCACAAATGGAGAAACTAACAAGGCTTATAAAAGCCCGGTGAATTCTAACAACCATGGTCCTTGGTCTAGATTTCAGACTCCCTTCAGAATGCTCATTGCCAAGCAGCCGACCTTTTGTCTTCTCTTCTCTTTCTGGCCCCAAATCACAACTCCTCTCCCAGTAAAAGTCACTCCTCTAAAGCCCTGTGCTGAGGACTGGGAGGTGGCAGTGGAGGGAGAAGCAGAACAGTGCACTATTTGCACTTCTGAGGACTCCCCAGGATCTAGGACTTGGTTTCTTAGGCTTGTGCTCGGCTAGGGGCAAAGATCAAAGTTTCAGAGTTAGACTGGGATACTTGAGGACTCAACTTTGAAGTGGATTCCACCCAAGGATATGCTAACAAAGGTGCAGATGACTTCTCCTGGGTTATTAGAAACTTTTGGTGGTACTGGGATGGACCACATC